TCTAAATGAAAGAAACGATGATTGTTACAAACTTCGAGAAATCAGCATAAAATTCAACCTTGCAATTTATAAGAACTTTTTTTGAGTTAATACACTTTCCGAAGCAAAACGCAAAATATTTTAAAAACTTCGTTTTTCAAATTGAAAACTGATTGTACTACGAAAAACGTCCAGATCTCAAAAAGCGTCCGGAATAAAAACAATAAAGAAGAAGAGACTAAAATCGCAAAGAAGCTGACCAACTTCCCATGCAAAGAAAAGGCCAGCTCAAAAGCGAAATTGGAGCTTCTCGTGTTCACATTTGAGCCGATTAAGAGATCCGCTGTCAAATGGACCAATCTCCAGATATTTCTTAGAAAGAGATTAGACTAAAAATGTGTAGAAAAAAAGCGCTTAAAGCAAGATTTTTGACCAAAAAATAGACCTTTTTAGGATTCGATCCAGTGAAATTCGACGTCTAGAATGGCAACAAATGAAAAATTGAAAAAAATGCGGTAGTCTGAGCTCCAAAGAAAGCGACGGGCGGAAGAACACAAGAAAAATGACCAGGAAGACGAGAAAAAAAAAAACAACACGGCACTGCCCATGCGTGAGCTTTCGTGCAAACAAAATAGCCGCGGCGCGGTTTTGAACACGGATCAGAAATTTTTTTGGCAGTCGAAAAAAAGCTTTGATCTTGATGATACTGTACTTGGATCACGCTGGGAGATTATAAGTTAAAAAAAGTCGTTAAAAAAATTTACGTTAGGATGAAATCTTCCTACATGGAAGAAGAAGAAGCAAAAAAAGGGAAATTAATTCATGACGTCTATTCGAGTCGTAGTTGTTCAAATTATTCAAAAAAATATTAATCAATTATAGAAATTGAGAAGAGCATGATATCCTTGTAGAAAAACTAAGTTTCAAGAAGCTTAACTAGATCGGCTAACTGTTGGGAAAATTCAGAAGTGAATCAAAAGAGGAAGTTCAAAAAGAAGCCGCTACGCAGCCGCAAGCGCAGCTGAAACTATTGGCGCTTCCAAGATTTTGAGAGAATCAAAAAATATGCCGTGTTCAATTTGATTCCGCGAAATGCAAAATACCCGTCAGAGAAAGGAAAAGATCATTGAATTTTGGAGAGTCAGAGATTATTTTGCATTTCGCGGAATCAAATTGAACACGGCAATAACGTTTTTCTGTACATGAGCTTCACGCAAAAAATTTTGAAAAATTCTAGAGCTATTGAAAAATGACGTCACTAATAAGAATAATCACGCCAGACGCAACGCCTCCTCAGCAGATTTATGAAAACTCGGAAAAACCAAAAGCAATGTAAAATGCGGGAAAAAACTCGCAACGATAACGGACCAGTCTCAGACGAATGTCGACTTTTTTTTCTTTCGGATGGAAGACGAGGAAAAGCTTTTGCGCGCCGCCGACCTTGTCCGAACATGGGTCGACGGAAAAGGATGAAAAAAGGACAGATGGTCAAATGATTGAGCAAAAAAACCAAGAAAAAAATGACGAAGTTGTCTGTCAAATCTCCTTTTTTATCAGAGACAAAGAAAGCTGAAAAAAATTTTCCAGATGAAATTCAACAAAGTTCTGATTTTTAAAAAATCTTCCAACTTTTCAAGAACTTCGACCTTCCTTTTTAAATTCAAATTCAAGTTCTACATTTTTGAACCTGTTTTCTGCAGTTTTCCCACGGGGAAACTATCAAAGGAACATTTTTGCAGCAAAAACGAAACATTTTTTTATGTGATAGCATAAAAAGTGTTGAAGTGGAGAAGCGTCAAAAAAAGCGGAAAGTCATAAAATGTTTTGACAAAGAAGAGAAAAAGTACTTTTTCTGGAATTTTCGGATGTGAAAAGCTGGTTATACTACATTTTATATTTTGCAACGTATTCTTAAAAAATTGAGAAAACCACTTACCTCAAAAAAAAAAAGAGAACCACCTATCTCAAAATTAACTTCAAACTTAGAAGAAGATCATCATTGAATATACCTTTTTCTACTAAATTAAAATTACCTGATTTTGCTCCTAAAAGAACCTCAAAAGCAGAATGGTCAATAAAAAAACGAGTTTTAAGAGCATTTAAAAGAGGTTAAAAAAAACGCCGCGAGGCTTAATCCCACTTCACACGTTCGCTCCACCGAGAAAACGCGTCAGTTAACTTGGAAATGACGTCATTTCAGAAAACGGGTTGCTAAGATATTTAATAAGGTAAAAGTGATAAGAAAGCTTTTACTGAGAGCTCAGAAAAATCAAAATTTGGGAAGAGAAATTTGAAAAATCGTCTTTTGTCAACGAGGCCCAGCTTCCTGGATCTACTCGTTCTAACTTGAAAAGTGAATTTTTCAAACTTTCGGATCGAAAGTCTTTTTAGAGTCTCTTCTGAGAAAACGGGACCTTTTTTGTACCCCAGATTGAAATTTTATAAAATGGTTATTTAAAAGCCTTCTTCCAACTGTCTTAGAGCTCGTTTCTACTAGTTTACATAGAAAGACTACTTCAAAACCTCCGCCCTCGGACCATTGTTGCTTGAGTCATGATTCCAGAAGACGGCAAAAGTTATCCGTCGAGCGCGTTTGTCCATCGGCTTTCGGCCACGTTCATTCCATGCAGCCGAGTGGACGGCACAACGTCAAGTGTGCGTCATTTTGTGTACTTTTACGCGTCCGTCGTTTTTTGGCCGCCTGAAGGTGATTGTTAAAAGATGGCTTTGCTGAGGGTGTTGCCAAACAAACACTTGAACACATTCAGGGCGAACGAGCCTAGCGGGGAAGAAGTGTGAAGAGTTGCGGAAAAAATGGGACGGAGAATCCTGGAAGAAAAATATTGTATCATCTTGATACAGAAAAGAAAGTTGGAGAAAAAAAAATGGAACTTTTCATAAAGCTGACTTGTGAGTTTTAAAAAGATTTCTGGCTCAACACGTAACGGTTGCGGAGCGTTTACATCAAAGCGCGTCCGACCCAAAACGAGTTACGCAGTTTCATATCATTCAATTAGCCATTCAAAGAGCGACCGAGAAGATCAAAATGATAGCAAATGAAGAAGTTAGGTATTGAAAAACTTTTTTTTTAAATTTTGAGATTGATACTCAGTTTTTTGTCGACTTTCACCATTAAATAATGCTTTTAACGAATTTTCTTCATTTTGACGCCATTAAATAACCTATCATCAGTTATAATTTCAGGTTTTTTTCTCTTTCATTCTGCAAAAAGTTCAATTTTCGCCATAATGACATAGAATGAAGTAGAATTAACTAGAAAAAATAATAAAAATAAATATTTAGTTACATGAATTTCGCTTTCAAAATCATTAATTTTTCCATTTTAGGATAAAGTTTCCCGTTTCTCATTGCTTTCAGAGTAGATAATTCGACAAATTCATTAATTCTGAAAAGTTTAAATCACCATCCACAAAATTACACCTTTTTTTTCGGAAAATAACAGTCCTCTTGGGAATCTCAAGAATGAAAAAAAAAATCGAAAACACACGCATTTCCTGTCTGTTGATTGCTCTAGAAATTTCCATTTTATTTTATTTTACAGCTTGAAAAACTATATTTTCTTTGCAGACTCTCTCGATTTTATTTGCTACTTTAAAGCTTCTCTGTCTATGCCCTCACTGGTGAATGAAAAGAGAGCGCAGACAGGTCAGACTTTCTCAGAAATTTTCAATATTCTTTCAGGTTTTTTTTCATCGCTTCCTAAAAATGCAGAAAAACGAGCTTCTAAGGAGAGGTACATAATTGATTCTCCTTCAAATTGTTTTCTCTAGATCTCACAAAAACTATAAACTTCAGTCTCTAGAAACATGCTCAAAAAGCTCAGTGTACATTTTTGTTTGGTTATTGGAAGTCTCGTGAGAAAACACGCATTCTCTCAGAGAAACAACATTTATAAGTAAAAAGAGAAAATTCTTGATTTCTGGAAATTCCCAATTCTATAAGTGTCTCAAGTCAAAAGGTTCTTCCGTACTTTTATTTTTTCAATCGCTCTCTAAACTTCATCAAAAGTGAAATTGAGTAAGAAAAAAACAAGGAAATGAGAAATCCCCTTTTTGGAACGCGCTGTTAACTTTTTATAGACATTACTGTTTTAAAGGTAACAAGCTTTTTCACTATTTTCTTGAATTCATTTATTGAAAAAAATCGCAAAAACCTTGAGCTTTATCTTGAAGCTTTTCTGAGGATAATGAAAATAAAAAAGAAAATCAAGTTTGTACCCAGTTATGACGACCAGATTAAAACGCTAATAACCAAAAGTTAGTACATGAGAAAACGTTCTACCCGTACTTGAATATAACTTGCCGAAAAACCTTTTTTTCCTTTTCTGAGAATCATTATTTTATTTCTTCACTACCTACGAAAAAGATAATTACAAGGCATGGAGGTGACCCTCCTGAACGCTGTTATTATCTTTTTCTTGAAAAAATGACTTGAAACGGCTCCAAATGGCCCACGCCGTTTCAGGTCGGTTGCACTGGCTTGCTAATGCTTAACCCAGACTTCAAAATTGCATCCAAATTAGAAAAAAATCTCGAATTAAGTTAATAATCAATCTTCAACATTTTTTTACACTATAACCTTGATCGAATCGTTTCTGGTCGGTTGCAAAACGAAACAGCTACACACCAAGTCATTCCCACGATGTGACGTCCTTTAAACTTTTATCAAAAAGTCGTTCCTCGACCTTTCATAATTTCTCCGAAAAGGCTACAATCTCTGATATTCCAAGCAACTCTCACGGTTTCTTTTTGAGAGGAAAAAGCTTATCAGACGGAATTTCCCCACATTCCGCTTGACTGGTAATGACTGTTTTCATGTTGGGCGAGTAGAAAACAAGACATTTGGGTTTGTGTGAAACGAAGCGCATCCCACCCAGAAGGGGCTCGAGAAAAGGTCGTCCGAAATTGTCAATTCAAGTGCGTTTTTTGGCATTTCCTTCGCTGATTAGCTCCATCTATCATTTTGCAAACTTGCAGGCTTTTGCTCGGTTCCCTGCAGAAATGGACTCGATCCGAGTGATCTACATGACGGTCCACGTGATCGTCGCCTTGTTCGGCTGCTGTATCAACGCCTCGTTGATCTACCTGGCCAGGTTCCACTCACCTGGCAAGATCAAGACCTACGCGACTCTCATCATGAACTTTGCCTTCACGGACTTTCTTTCCTGTGTCGCCGACATCTTTACTCTACAGCGGTTTTGGAAATATTCTATTTGTTGGAAGAATATAACAAATTCAGAGCGATTCCGATAGACCGTACAGCCGTTATTTTTCTTTCAAGCGGTCCTTGTCAGTTCATCTCAAGAACCGCTTGTTTCATAGCGTAAGGAAAGCTTTGAAATTACCTTAATCTTTCAAGTTTTCAGGTACAACTTCATGCTCCACCTTCTAATCCACTCCCTTTTATCGTTACTGTTATCCTTCTCCTATCGGTACTATGTCCTGTTCAAACCGTCGCCAAATAGACGAACTATTCTGTTCGTACTGTTTTTAATGTATCTTCCCTCGTTGACTCATTTGGTAAGTATGAAAGTTTCTCACGTAATCATTTTCTTTTCATTAGATTTCCTTTTGTTGTGGTTATTTTTGAGCTAGGGGAAAATTCAAAAAAGTTTGTTTTGGTTGGTTCTGAGATCAAAGGGCTCAAGAAAGAGAAAAAAACAGAAACCAAGTTGAATTAACAGTGTTAGAAAAAGGGCGTGGCTAGTCACTGAAAAGTAAAATTCACTAGAACTCTTTTGTAGAAGTTTATAAGCAGTTTGTGAATGATTCAAAGGAAAATTATTCTTAAAAACGGCGTATTCTTCATTCGCCGTGACCTGACAGTTTTCGAGTGTCTGCGTCTCTCTGTTCCCTCACCCGCGAGGTCAGAGAAAGATAAAAATAGCGCGTCAATTTGAGAGGGTCGCCGAGAGACGAGGATGGCGCAGAGAAAAAGTAACAGTTTCATTGCGAAAAAAATGGACTGTATTAGAAACTTTTTTTGTTTAGAAAAAGCCTCAAAAGCCTGAAGCATGAGTGCATAAAATCACTAGAATGCCTCTTGACTCGATTCTTTCCTGGCCTTTTTTGTCCCAACTTTTCTCCCAGAAGCTTTCGTTCATACCTTTTTTTTCAGATTATATCCTCTACAACTCAAGGCGGAGTCGAAGAAATACAGGCCATACTTTCCAGTCGTTTCCCCGATTTCGATTATAAATATGTGATGGTCAGTGGAGTGGCGGATATGGACAGTTTTGCCTCGAAAATCCACGTCGCGGGCGTTTCTCTGCCAATCGTCCCTATCTACATTGCGATTCTCATTATTCGACACAAGATCATCAAAAGTCTGAGTTTTTTTCGATGGAAGCATGAGCAGCGACACGAAAAGCATGCACAAACAGCTGTTGAAGGTGAACTTTTGCGAAGTTTTGATCATAAGGAGTCGAAAAATGGCTAGGAACTTCTGTCAGAAAGTTTAAAAAAAAATGTGAAAAATGGGAAACCTTACAGTTTTCTTCCATACATAACAATTTCTAATACTGGGAAAATTTTTAGTGGCCACTACCAAGGACGACTTGGAGAGGACACTAAAGTGGCCACTAAACCCACCTCTATATATACACCCAATAGGGGCCACTATTTTCCGTTTTAGTGGTCTAGTAGTATTACTTAGACCTCTATAGTGGCCACTATTTTTTTCCCCTCAAGTGGCCACTAAAACGTCAAAACCTCATAAGAAACTTTCCAGGCCCTCACCTACCAAGCCTGCATCCCGATCTTCTTTCTAATCGGAGTTATTTCCTTCACTTTGGAGCAGTTCAATATTATCAGCCATCCCGACCTACAGTATGCTACTGTAACTGCCCTCATGTTGATCTCCATTCTAACGCCGATGGCGTCTCTGGTTTTTGTCCGACCTTATCGAGAAAAAATGAAGCAACTCGTCGGAATGAGCTTCGACCCCACCTTGGAACGTACTTCTGTTGTTTTTTCTACTAGAAGTGTTTAGATCTTCAAAATCATGATTGCTGGGTTGTTTGAAGGAGCGTGAACTTATTTATAAAAGTTATCCGGACGAAGAGCCGTTTTTTGGTATTTCTGCACTCTTTAACATCACAGCTAATCTTTTTGAATAAACTGAAAATCCCGAAAAAAGAGCAAATTTTTTTATCTTACTGTAGGCAATCCTGCCGCAATCCCACTGACGCACTGTCAACTTTGTATGTTTTTAATGTCATTTCCAAATTTTTTTTGATCGTTTTTAAATCTCTATTCTGAAAAGTTATGATATCCATGATGTTTATTCTTTCGACTATATTATATTTTCATATCTACAAACATCACATATTATTGCCTGAAACCTCATTTTTTTCTTTTTGAAAAAAATGAAAATAGTTTCTCTGACTCCGTAAATTGTAGGGAAATCGTGATTTTTATGTTAATTTTTTGCTTTATAATCTTACATTTTGTTGATTTTCAAGATAATGAATCCCTTACATTCGGCTTTTAAAAAGCTTTCTAGATGTATTCAAAGAATGATGGAAAATTTTTCACGAGGGAAGAAGCTGTTCTTGCAGAGTTGTGTTCAGTCATTGCAGGTTTCTGCGGTTTTAAAAACCCCGGTGAGGCCTTTTGAAAAGATTTTATTATTTTTTTTTCTTTCAATTTTTATTTTTTACGGGGAAAATACACGTCCGCCTTTAATAAAAAATTTTTTTAGCCTCCCTCTCCCACATAATATATTTATTCATCATCATTTTCAAACAAGCGGAACAAAAAATCTAAGCAGTGGTGGTCACGAAAACGACGGAAAAACGTTCGACTGTAGAAGACTTCAATCCGACGAAAATCCTGATTCTCTCTCTATACGGCTTCACAAAAACGAGGGAAGCCATCGGGGTTAGTACTGAGATAAGAATAAGAGCTGTGACAGTCGTATATCCCAAAATAGGGTGGCTAACTAAATTGAACTGCTCCAAAGTGAAGGAAACAACTCCGATCACGAAGAAGCCAGGGATCATGGATTGGTAGGTAAGAGCCTGGAAAAATCTGAATATTGTGAAATATTCTTAACATCGCGAGGCTGCAGAGCTCCTTTCAAGTTTGACGCAGGAGAAAAATCCAAAATATCTACTTTTTTTGACAGTCTACGTTCAAAACAACTTCTTTGACATCTTATTTTTGTTACCCACTGAAAAACCGTTTGTTTTTTCAAATTTCAGTTAATGTTATTTAAAACAACACTGAAGGACCGACACAAAATTTAAAAAAAATTACGTTTAACTCGTAAGAATCTGTGACATTTTTTTGAACAATTTAAAAAAACACAAATTCTGATTAATAAGAGTTCAAAATTAACCTTCAACAGCTGTTTGTGCATGCTTTTCGTGTCGTTGCTCATACTGGCGCTGAACAATCCAAGACTTGTGATGATTTTGTGTCGAATAATCAAAATAGCCGTGTAGATCGGGAAGATCGGAAGAGAAACGCCGGCGACATGAAAAGTCGAGGCGAAACTGGCCATGTCTGTCACGCCGCTGACCATCTGACACCCAGTGTCAAAGTTGGGGAAACGACTGAAGAGTATGTCTTGAATCTCTTGGACTCCTCCTTGGGTTGTAGAGGATATGATCTGAAAAGAAGGAACGTCTCTGGGGAGAAAAGTGGGGACGAAAAAGTCCGGGAAAAAATGATTCAAACGGCATTTTTTATCCTTTGATGCACCTAGTGGTTTCAAGCTCTCGATATTCTTTCTAAACATAAAAAAATTCCTACTGAAGCAGTTATAGCGCCACTTTAATGCCCCCTTGAATGAACAAATTCGTTCCGAAAGAGCTAAATTGTCGAAATTTATCAATTTTTTAAGTATTTTTGAAACCCTCAATGTCTTTTACTGAGATCTCTACGAACGAATGCCCAAAACTTTTTTTCCCTTTCAGTTTTTGAAGTTTTTTTCTCATTAATATTTTCTGATCCTTTTGGTCTTAGAACTCAACGAAACTTCAAAATTTTCTCAAGCAAAAACAATAACAAGAAAAAGAAAAATTCCCCGTGGTAACAAATTATTTTGGTCTTTGCTCTCGAAAATCCTCAAAACCTACTAAATGAGTGAACGACGGAATATACATCAGTGCCAAAATCCCGAGAACGGTCCGTTTTCTGGGCGACGGTTTGAACAGGACATAGTACCGATAGGAGAAGGATAACAATAAGGATAACAGTGAGTGGATTAGAAGGTGGAGCATGAAGTTGTACCTGAAAATTTGAAAGATTAAGGTAATTTCAAAGCTTTCCTTACGCTATAAAACAAGCGGTTCTTGAGATGAACTGACAAGGACCGCTTGAAAGAAAAATAACGGCTGTACGGTCTATCGGGATCGCTCTGAATTTATTAAACTCTTCGAAAAAAAAAAATGGAATATTTCCAAAACCGCTGTAGAGTAAAGATGTCGGCGACACAGGAAAGAAAGTCCGTGAAGGCAAAGTTCATGATGAGAGTCGCGTAGGTCTTGATCTTGCCAGGTGAGTGGAACCTGGCCAGGTAGATCAACGAGGCGTTGATACAGCAGCCGAACAAGGCGACGATCACGTGGACCGTCATGTAGATCACTCGGATCGAGTCCATTTCTGCAGGGAACCGAGCGATACCCTGCAAGTTTGCAAAATGATAGATAGAGCTAATCAGCGATGGAAATGCCAAAAAACGCGCTTGAATTGACAATTTCGGACGACCTTTTCTCGAGCTCCTTCTGGGTGGGATGCGCTTCGTTTCACACAAACCCAAATGTCTTGTTTTCTACTCGCCCAACATGAAAACAGTCATTACCAGTCAAGCGGAATGTGGGGAAATTCCGTCTGATAAGCTTTTTCCTCTCAAAAAGAAACCGTGAGAGTTGCTTGGAATATCAGAGATTGTAGACTTTTCGGAGAATGGAAGGTCAAGAAACGACTTTTTGATCAATTTTGAAGGATCGTGAAACTTGAGTTAAAGTTTTGATGAAACTCTCTGAATTGTATTGTTTCTCTTCGTGAATAAGGTGATGAAAAATTGTTAGACGAGAGACACAAAATTAAAAAAATGTGTTTTGATTCAGGTTTTTGAGAAAAGTTCAATGGTTTTTCGTGACCAGAGGGACAAGATATATATACCCTACAAAATTGAGCTCAATCGGAGACACTGAAATTTTTCGACCTTTGAGGGTCTATAACTTTTTTCACAGATGTATTGGGCACTTTTTGAAACTAGATTTGGAATTAGCGTGAAAATATACATCTAGTGAACTAGGTCTAATTCAGATGTCCCACTGCGTCCCGAGACCATTCCCTGGTAAATAGTAAAAAGTGGTTAAGAAAGCGCAACCGTCCAAAAATGACTTGCGCCGACCCCTCAAAATTATGGTGTTTCAAACAAGAATTTTTGTGGTCAAAGACGTTTTCTAAAATTTGAACCAACTTCCTCTAGGAAGTCCAAAAATATGGTTCAAATGAATGACAGGTGAAATGTGAGCTATTTTTTTCTCTTTTAAGTACCTCGTTTCTTTTTTAGTTTGTCAATTCAGGCGTCATAATTGGGTTCACGACGACTTTTTTATTAGAAAATTTGTAGTGATCACTTTAGAGAACAAAGAAAGTGCCTCAATTCTGGGATTTTTTAGTAATCACTGTAGGGGTCTGAACGAAGCCATTTAGGTTTAGAAGTATCGTAGCTCTCTGTAGAGAAACAAAAAATTGAAACTCAAAAAGATCAGAATGAATGGAAGGGGAAAAAATGGAGTTTCTTGAAGTTTTCAAAACTGTTGAACGGGATTGCCCTTTTTCTTATTCTAGTCTAGAATAAGAAAAAGGGCAATTTTCGAGAAATAAACTCAAGTTTTTTCTTTTATCTGACGTCTGGACAACCTTAAAACTTTATGGAAAATGACATTTTTGAGAGAAAATGGTGCTATATCACGCAATCTTCTAAATTTTCTGTTTAAAATAAAGCTAGCATATAATATTTTTTCACAGCTTATTCGTTCTCACAATTAGCGTTTGGTCGTACAGGGAATGGTTTGAAGCATCGCGATCGTGTTTGAGAGTGTCTTTCTCTAGTTCATTTTTTCGATATTTCTTCGCGAAAGTCGTTTTTGGTCGGTTGCGTCTCTAGAGAGCCATTCTTAGTGCGACCAATGGCTTCAAAAGAAAAAAAAATTATAAAAAGTATCGTCAATTTTGAGATTCTCAGAAATTCAGTTTATTTTGCGTTCCAAGATCGAGAATATTTAATGAAGTTTTTTTACTCGTTTTTTTACTTAGAAGTTTTCTCGATTTTCATAAAAAAACAATAGCTTTTACTTTATTCAGGCCTTGAATAAAGTAGAAACTAGATCAATAAAATGATAATCTCAGAATGATATATATGAAAAAAACTAAGCAAAAAAACGCTTAGAAAAAAACCAGAAATCGAAGTAAAATGTGTATCTATTTTTTTGTTATTGTTCGTTTTTTTAACTCGATCATTATTTTAGGTAAGCTGTAATTTTGAAAAATGTTATTTGAAATTTCTTTTTAAAAAAACTTGACCAAATAGAAGAATCTATCATTAATCTATTTCTGGAGTCTAAAAAGAGTCAAGAAGCGAAATTCGGAAAACTATATTTTCAAGATACTGTTCTTGCTAAAGAGCTAATAATCACTCTTTGAACTGGTAAACTGTAGCAGAAAGTGCGCCCGACCTAAAACAGCTCACGCTCGAAACCATCGGGAAGCATTCGAAGAAGCTCATTTAACTGAAAACTGTCTGCGGCACCAAAAAAGACCGCATCGTTTTTTTTTTACGAAGCATCTTTTCTGACTTTTTCGTTCTTCCAATTTTTTTTAGATAAAAAAACAACTTCGAAAAAAAGAAAGAATGAACCTACATACTTTTTATGTTCTCATCGGTTTTTTTCGAATGACATTTCCTGTCTATCCTTTCTCCATAAACATGTGCGATCATTACGCTCGAATGAACTCCGATTTTCCTTTCTAATCACAAAATGAGTCAACAAAAATTTACATTGAGCAAACTACAAGAGCTGAACTGTGGTTTCATCTGGATGAAATTTTGAGAGAGTTTCCAAAAATTAAAAATTTCTTGGAAATATAACTGAACTTGGTATTATCAGGGCTGAAAAAAAAAAGCTTGAAAACTTGAAAAAAGAATCCGGCATGGTTTCCATGAATTCAAAAAAACACGACGATGGAGAAAAAAAAAAGAATTTTCCCAGGTTTGAACTTTTGTTTACGACTACCACTAGAGACACATTGAGGGAAATTGCAATTCGAGTTTTTCCTTATTTAGATTATTTGCAGAAAAAATGCGTGAAATTTTCGAAATTTGTGAGAAATAGTAGCTGGTTCAAGTTCCGATAGCATTTCAAACAGTTGAGTTGCACTCGAAAAAGAAGAAAAACCTGTCGAAACCTATAGCAAATTTGTTCAAACCTAGACCTTAGCTTCTTGTATTTAACATATATTGTTGAGGAGTGAAAAAAAGGATACCTACTGAAGATAAACTCGAACGGCAAAACCTGGACGGAAGGCCCCGGCATCCCGTCTTTTTCGCCCTGAAAAAAAATCTTAAGTTCAGGTTTGCCAGCGAATCGTTTTCCATTTTCTTGGCGACTTGATGGAATCAGGACGTCATTGTTCATCAAATAATGTTATCAAATCGATATTTTAGCGTTTTGGGAAAATTGAGAAACAGTTTCTTCAGCACAGTCATTCCTATTTGGAACAGACTGTGCTCAAGATTCGACATGAACACTTCAGCCTCCCGCTTCAGGAATTTTCTCGACTCTCTCGACAACAATGAATTACTCGCAAGTGTGCCCAACAGACTGCTCTATAAAAATCGAAACTTCTGTTCTCAATTTTCAATACGTGTATCCCATCCCGGTAAATCGCTCGTTGGGGCGTTTGTATATCGCGTTTCACTTCACTCAAATACTTTCTATTCCGTATCTGTATTTTTTTGTGTTTGAGTGAGATAAATAAATAAATAAATAGCCTTGACAAAGAAAAACTTATTTATTGACCACAGGGAGGTATCAGAGGCTTCAATTTCATGAAAAAAATTCGGGAGGCTAAAGAGTAGTCTTCCCAAGTGTTCCCAACAACTTAAAAAAAGAATAAAAAAATAATCAAAGTTTATTTTTCCTGAAAAAGATGGTAAGAAAAGCTTCAATATGAGTCATATCACGTGTTTCAAATCTATCAAAAACCCATTAAAACTTTTTAAAAACTGATCAAATTTTTCTTTCAATTATTTCCCACAGCAAGACGGTTTCAAAAGAAAATTTCTTTTCAATCTTTTTTTCTTGTAGTTTGTGGTCTTCTTTCTTCTCTTTCCACTATTCAGAGTAGTGCGTAAAGAATTAATATTTCAGTTTTCTTTCAAATTATTTTCAATTTTTCGAACAAGTTTTATCACGTCAATGCACAATTTTTTTTACTAATTAACAAATGAAAGCTATATTTTCCTTGTTAATACGAGAAAACAGCCGAAAAAATTCCCAAAACATACCATTCATATTCAAATTTTCGGGCGTCAATTCCCAACCCATTTGATCTTCAATAAGGTGTCAAAGTCACAAATTCTGACTTTTCTCACGTCAAAAAGACCGTTCTCAGTTCATCAACACGTTCCGTCTTGCTACAGGCAAGAAAGAATATTTATCAACTTCTTTTAGAATAATAAACAATAGGCAAGCGAGGAAGATTTTTCATGGAAGGTACAAATTTGATTCAAAATTTTCCGCGCTCATTCCTATCCCATTACTTTTTGAATCACCTAGTCAAACCTAAGAAAGCGGCGAAATGAAAGAAATATTTTCCTATCGGTACCATTAGATCCAAAATTCTCATTGTCCATTCCTAACCTTTTGGATGCCGGAAAAAGCCTCAAAGTTGAATTGTTCGAAAAAAAGCTTTTAGCGTTTTTTTGAAAACGACAAGGCGCTTTGAAAAAGCAAATCGATGAAGTTTCCAATCTTTTTTTGAAAAAAATTTTTTTCGCAAAAATATTTTTTTAAAATCGAAAAGAACTCGTCAAACAGCTCGCTCTAAAAAAAAGAAACCGTGAATAGGATTATTGGTACGAAATTTAAAAACCTTTTGTGAATAGAATGAATGTTCAGCCAAAGTTATGTCAAAAAAATAAAAAAATTTTTAATGGCTTCAGTGCTCCTAAATAGTCACTTCATGAAAATATAGAGAAGATAAGTAAGTTTAATGTTTTTTCAAGTTTAAGGAGATCTTTTTCTTACCCCCAAAAAAAGGCCGATAACCAATGAAAAAAAAACTTTCAAGCTTTTGAGTCTCTCCATCTTTGAGCAAAATTAGAGTACGTTAATTCGAAACCACTGGCAAGTAAGTAAGAGGTGAAGGAAAAAAAAAGTTTCTTTGCCAGTTGATTCAAATTTCTTGCCTTCCGTTCCCAACATTCTCCCTCCGCTGTCGGAGCACCCATCAAAATTGCAAATTATCACCTATCAAACATCAAAAAAGAGCCTTCTCAGTTCATCAACACGTTCCGCCGTGCTGCAGGCAAGAACAGGGCCGTTTAGGGCAAGTTAGCACCTCGGTGAGGTGGAGTCGGAGCTGAGACCTTTAGTCTCCGCCTCCTCTTCCTGCGACGATTTCTTCAGTGGTATCATACCAATCCGCACAGTCCTACCGTCCTCTTCGACCTTCCGACTTCTTCGTCAACTTCTACCGAAATGGCCGAGTTCTTCGACATCCAGGAGGAAATCGCCATGCGAATGGACGCCGTGACTCTCAAGTCTCTGGCCGCCACTTGCTCTACTTGGAAGCACTATATCAAGACTCATCGTCAGAAGTTCAAGTTTGTTTTTTTTTTTTATTTTCTTCATGCATAGCTAGGGTCCGCAAGCCATTTCTTCAGAATGATTTAAAAATATGTTTTTTTCACATTGTTCGATAGGGGAGACTGTCCATTTTTCATAATCCGTTTAGTTTTTTTGAAAAAAAGGTTCACTAAGAAAAAAAGTTATGGCCAAAAAAACGAGCGCGCGCGGCGTACAACTGGAGGCAAAATCTCACGGTTTACCCGCTGCCGCACGCTTTCTTTTTAAATGTTTTTTTGCGCGTTTCTGGACCGTTTTTAAATCGGTTTTCTGTTCTGAGAGGTTGTCCGAACTGAGCCTCATGTTTTGGTATGAATCTTTTGTACAATCCTCATAAGAAGTTTTTGATGAAATATCAAAAAAACTACCTAGAAAAAGGTCAAAAGGATTTTTTTCAGCTTATTTTTTTCTTTTTTTCTACTCAGAAAAAAATTATTATCATTCGATTTGGAAAAAGAAAAAAATGAAAAAAATAATGTTATTTCGAAATAAAAACAGGAAAAAAAGTGCAATTTGACTCCGAAAAAAACGGCTCCTGCGACATTTAAAAGGGCGCATCGGTGTGTTTGACGCAAACACTGCTACGGACACTTGCACGAAATCTTCCGAAATTTCAAAAATTGCCATTTTTTTCGAGGGATTTTCAAAGCCGTTATTTTTCGCGTCGATCGATTTTTTTCATAATTTTTTTCATTGATAGAGTTTTGAACGCTTAATAACATAATCAAAAATATAGACGCGATCCTATTCTCTCATGCGTCAACGAGGCAGGCGAAAAAAGGAGGTTTTGGTAAAACTCAAATATAATTTGATTCGCTGTCCCAATAATTATTTTCATTTTGAATTTTTATTCTTGGACACACTGTTAGTTTTTAAATCAAATAAAAAGTATACCATGTCGCTGAAATTTTTTCGCATTTCAGCTTCAAAGTTTGGTGTCACTTTACAAGCTTTAATATTTTTTTCGCGTCGGTAGATTTTTTTCATTTTCACTCAAAAAATAAAGAAAGTGTTAATGTATAACATACTAAAAATTTAGAAGCGTTCCTCACTTGGTTTTCTGAAACGCGACGATTTTGTGAAACTTGTCAGTTTTTTTCGTGTTAAATCTTACTTTTTCGCTTATTTTTGAAAAATACATAGTTTTAAAAATATTCAGTCTTGTAGAGCGTTGTCGATTACATAGGTTTTCAGAAACAGTTGATTTTTAAAGTGGGACTTTAGCTAGTATAAACGCCTCAAAACCGTTTTTTTGCAACAAAAAATCGTCATTTTGGTGGCGTGAAGGGGCAGGGCTTTGCGCCCCCCTATGCATAACTTTTGTGATCAGCTTTACTCATGATAACTTGAGGGGCTCATTTTCCTCTTTTGATATTTATAAGAATTTTTCAAAAAAATTTCAAAGTTCTCAGACCTTATTGTTCTTGGCTCTCATTACCTTTCCAGCTTATTATCCACTCGAACTGAAAACTATATGCTTGATAATATCACAATTATTCTCTTCATTCAAGCAAAACTATAGAAGCTCACACCAAATGATCAGTCAGGAATCGAAAAAAACTGAATCTGCGTTCTCATTTCTTTAACCAGAGATAAACTCGCCGTGAATATGAAATTTTTTTGACTTTTTTTGAGCATAATTTTGAGATTCAACTCTCCAAAAAGAACTTCAACTTTATTAATATTTTCTAAAAACCCAGTTTTTCAGCCGCACGCCACTCAGCAGCCTGGTCATCACCAGCCAACTCAAGACGTTCTACCGTGTCCGGGTTTTTCGCAACGCCTCAGGGTCTGTTGGTGCCCGTCGACGACGTTTGCTACGAAGTCTCCGTGGAGCTCCCTCCTTCGCGTACTATCCGAGCCAGAAAACCGTCTCGAATGAGAAATTCTTCGACACTGTCGCAGAATTTCAGCCAAAGTTTCTTTGGCTCCACGCCAAGCCAAACGTCGTGGCAATGCTCCCGCCTTGGTGGCTTTCTACGGTCGAGCAGGTATGAGAGTCAATTTAAAGTTTCAAACAAAAAGCTTTTTTGACTAAAATTTGGAACTGATCTTTAATCAAGTGGAATTTCAAGCTTCAATGGACTCATTATCATTTCAAAAGTATGGGCGGTTCCAAAAACTGTCTTGTTTTTAAATATGAAAAAAATAAAAATTCTAAAAAAATATTGAATTTTAATTGCAGCTCTCCTACTCCTGCGAGTTCCATTCGCTCGACATCTTGCACATTTTGAGATGCGCTCCGAAGGTTGTTTTATAATCAATTCACCTCTTAATTCATTATATTCAGATGCACCACGTCGATATTCTCGCCCAGGACCCGAATATTCCCTACACGCCGCTGCAAGTGGTCAAAGCGATGAACTCGATCTCCTTACTCTCGTTAGTTTTTCTTTTTTTCTTTGCCTTGATAGATCAGTGGCGGCCTGAAGAGACGTCAGAGAAGTGGAAGCCTTTCTTTTTCTCTGATGTCTCTTCAGACTATCTGTTCTCAAAACAAAAAATCGAAAAGTTTCGCTCAGAAATGTTATGAAGCTCTTATCAGTTTAAAAATAGTCCAGTTACTGGAAATCGGAAAAAATAGTGAAGAAGGAACCCCCGAAAAAGCTGATTATTTTTAAATTTTGTACTTCAAAAAAATCCTAAAAATTACGAATAATAATTCCTAGGAAGCTTCAAAAACTATCCCTAATATCTCAGATAATCAGAAAAAAATCATTCCAGGATTCGTCAAAAACGCAGAGTTTCCACGAGTGACTGAGAACGCTGACGAGATTTTGGCCGAAGTCACTAAGAAATCGAAAAAAACGGCATGGGACTCTTTTTGTTGAGAATTGAGACGGGCAACTTCTCATACACTCCTGAGGCTCTTCTGCGCTTTTTTTGAGGTGATTTATTATTTTTTTGGGTCGATCAATTTTTGATACTTAAAAAAATTGGAACAAGAAAAAGTCAGCTTCGAAATCCAAAAAGATTCAGTGAAAATTGACAAAAAAATTGAGCTGAAGCAAGAGAGCAACAGTGGCTCAAAAAGACACCAGAAAAGTTAGAACTTCTCTCTTTCTGTGCCGCCTCTTCAAATTGTTACCTCTCTCGTTTCTTCTAGTTCGAGTTTTGCATTCATTTCTCTACAGACCCGATTTGACTCAATTTTGAGGCTTTTTTTAATTTTTCAGCTTTCAAAAATGACTTTTGTGAAACGAAATACCTAAAAACTCTCTCTCAAATTTTTCAGACAACGAAGTTCTACACTGCGCATAAAGTGATACTGTACATCCACAAGATCGAGGGCGGCAAGGAAAACTTCTACGAGACCCTCAGAGCCAGGGAAAACTGCGATTCTATCCGATGCGATGGAGGCTTCATGTACCGCCGAGGCCCGCTGCAAGCCACGGTTTACGTGACTGAAGAATGATTTGTAGCTTTTTCAGCTCAACTTGTTTTCGGGTATGCTTGAAAAACGAGTAAAGTCCCCATTTTAGCGACTTGTTTTACAATTTTGTAATTTGACCGATCCCCCTTTTTCTTATTATTTTTTTTCAATTTGTAACTCTTTTTATTGTGTAATTATCTAATAAATTAAATCAATACAACCTTTGTTTTTTTACTTCAAAAAAGTATTGAGAAAGAAAGGAAAAGTCTATCCACTCAACATCATGGTTTAGTGCAGAAATTCGAAAAAAATTCGAAAAAGTTTGGTCAGAATGAATGGCTACTTTTCAATTGAAGGTTTCGTGGCCCTTTGTTCCAAGTTTTTTTCGCGACTTCGCAAAAATTTGAAATTTGAGGCGTGACGCGTTTTGAACCGAAATTGGCGTAAAGTCGGTGGGAAAAAAAGTTGGACGGGTAAACTGAGATTTTTAGAAAGAAATTTGGAAAAACTACCGTTTGAAAAAATTGAAAATCATGCGGTTTTTAGTCGAGTTGGAGTTTTACTCTGTTCAAAAATAGCTTTGCACAATTGGAATCAATATATTGCAAAAAGCCTCGAGTAAAGAAGTTAAAATTCTTGAAAAAGTCTGCTTATATCATTTGATCAAAAGTTTTCAGCATCCTTTTTTTCAACCCATGAGATCTCAAAAAGTCAAATAATTCTGTTGTCCAAGTTTTGGCATCCTTTATTGGTGAAGAAAAATAAAACCTCTTCATTTTCTTTTTTTTGTTCCTACTAGTTTATGTTGCTCCTTAAGATATGTGTGAAAAAAATGTTTTTTTGAAGTTTTTTTAAGCAATTTCGATGATCCATGTTTAGAATTATATTCAGAATGAAACAAAAACGAACCGTCGGAATTCTCCAGCGTGGCGTCAAAGAAGTCCTTCCGATCACCTTAGCCTCTGAAAACTGAAACAAATATGAATATAAAAATTTTTCAAGCAGGGAAAAAAATGGAACTCAATTTGCCAAAAACTTCTCGGCTCACTTGAAAACGAGCAATTTTTAAATCAGTATATATTTGATTCACGGCTGGCTTGAGCCATTGAAAAAAAGGGTCCTGACACGATAATTCCCGAGATAGTGACTGGTTTGTGGAGAGCGAAGACAGGCCACGCCCTCTTAGCGTCTCAAGTTAACCGTGAATCAGCTATACTTGTCCCGATTTAGCTTGGAGTTTTCACAAAAAGATAACTCTCCGATCGAAATCATTCAGGATTAAGATCTGGTGCTTTTTTGTTTCGCTTCCTACGTCGCTTTCCCTTTTTAACGTACTAACCTTGCAAAACAAGTAGTCCTTACTGATATCTTTGAAAATCATGGAGATCTATTCGAAAGACGAGTATTTTCCTATAAATTTTCATTTTTTTATCCAAGATCCCGGCCTTCAGCTAGTTCAAATTGATAAAGTTTGTTCTTCGTGAGTTCATTATGTCTAAATTCTCCTTCTTAGTGCTTCTTTTTCCATATCTTATTTCGTGCTTATCTATTCAATAAATTGGACTTTTTCGTTCACGAAAAATTTTTTTAAATACAAAAAACTTCAAAAAGGATTAGCCTAAATATTTTTTTATGTTTTTCGCCGGTTTTTATAACATTTCCCGCCTCTCCTTTTCCATGAACATGGGCGATCATTACGCTCGAATGAACTCCGATTTTTCTTCCTGATCAAAAAAATGAGTCAACAATATTTTTTTGAGCAAACTACAAAAAGCTGAATTGGGGTTTCACCTGGTTGTTGTTGGAATTTTGAGCCAGGTTCAAAAAAACTAAAAAAATTAAATAAAAAAATTTACCTGAACTTAGTATTGTCAGCAATGAAAAAAACTCAAAAAACTCGAAAAAGAAACCGGCATGGTTTCCATGAACTCAATAAAAACAACACGACGATGAAGGAAAAAGAATTTTCCCAGGTTTGAACTTTTTGTTTACGACTACCACTTGAGTCAAATTTAGAAAAAAATCGCAATTCGACAAAAAAATAGTAGCTGATTCGAGTTCTTATAGCATTCCAAACAGTTGAGTTGCACTCGAGAAATAACCAGTAAAATGAAAATCCGTTGAAAAAAACGTTTTAAATACAGGAACAAGAAGAAAAAAACTTGTCAAAACCTTGGATATTGCGATTTTTTTCGAACCCCAACCTTCGCTTCTTGTTTTTATTATATACTGTTAAGAAATGAAAAAAAGCGGAAGACCTACTGAAGATAATTCGAACAGCAAAAACCTAGGCGAGAGACACCGGCATCCCGTCTTTTTCGCCCTTAAATAACAGATTTCGATATAAAAACACACGTTCTGCGATAAATTGTTTGAAATGAGAAATATCATGATACAATAATCTCAAGTTGGTTGCTCAGAGCTTATTTCGCTATCAGCAATCATGAAAAAAACTAGATGTCTCAGCTTCTTTTTCTTCTAAAACTGCAAATAAAGCGAAAAATCGTAAATTTTAAAAAAAGTGAAAATAATTATAAGACCCATAACTTTTTCTAGAAAGTTCAGAGCAGTTCTACTTTCATGAATGGATTTAGGACCTCAGGGATGTCTTCTATCGATTTATATAGATCTGGTCCAGATTGGCTTCCATTACTCTGAGCGATAAAGCGATAAAAAAATCGAAAAAAATTAAAAAAAGACCGTCATCAAAAGACGCATAACTCTCTTTCTAGAAGGTTTAGAACAATTCTATCTTCAAATTTGGGATCAGGACGTCATTATTCATCAAATAATGTTATCAAATCCATATTTCAGCGTTTTGGGAAAATTGAGAAATTTGCAGTCTCCTTTCTCTTCTGAACTCCTAAATATCTCGCCGTTGGTTCCAAAAACTCATGGGCAAGTGAAGAATCTAGTTAGTCTAAAAACATGGATTGTGTTACACCGTCACCGGCTCTTCCGTGTAAGCTTTAGACGTGTTGAAGGCAGACTGTCATGAAGTCTTTATTCGTGAGCCTCACACGCGTCTGGCCAAGACGCGTGCAAGGGAACCAAGTGACATACAGGCGTGTCTGTCGGAGCAATTACACGCCGAGAGCATCGTTCACACATGAATACAATAGAACGGAGAGAGATAGTATTCCTACTGTTACAATTGATTCAAAATTTTTTTCAAACAATGGAGTACAAAAAAATGAGATTTATTTTTTTATTTTGAGTAGTCATGACAAGAAAAAAACTTGTTTATTGACCTCAGGGAGGTATCAGCGGCTTTGATTTCATAAAAAAACATTCGGGAGGCCTTCAAAGATTAGTCTTCCCAGGCGTTCCCAACAACTTGAAAAAGAAGGAAAAAAAGATTAAATTTGATCCTGAAAAGATGGTAAGGAAAAGCTTCAATATGAGTCATATCACGTGTTTCAAATCTATCAAAAAACCCATTAAAACTTTTTAAAACTGATCAAATTTTCTTTCAATTATTTCCACCGCAAGACGATTTCAAAAGAGAACTTCTTTCAATCTTTTTTCTTGTAGTTTATGGTCTTCTTTCTTCTTTTCCACTATTCAGAGTAGTGCGTAAAAGAATTCATATTTCAGTTTTCTTTCAAATTATTTTCAATTTTTCAACAAGTTTTATCACTTCAATGTACACTTTTTTTTACTAATTAACAAATGAAAGCTATATTTTCTTTGTTGATATCAGAAAAATAGCGGAAAAAATTCCCAAAACGTATCATTCATATTCAAATTTTTGGGCGTCAATTCCCAACCCATTTGATCTTCAATAAGGTGTCAAAGTCACAAATTCTGACTTTTCTCACGTCAAAAAGACCGTTCTCAGTTCATCAACACGTTCCGTCTTGCTACAGGCAAAAGAGATCCGACTCGTCAAATATATATCAACTTCTATTACAATAATAACCAATAGGCAAGAGAGGAAGATTTTCATGGAAGGTACAAATTATTCTGAAATGTTCCGCGCTCATTCCTATCCCATTACTTTTTGAATCACCTAGTCAAACCTAAGAAAGCGGCGAAATGAAAGAAATATTTTCCTATCGGTACCATTTGATTCAAAAATTCTCATCGTCCATTCCTAACCTTTTGAATGCCGGAAAAAGTCTCAAAGTTGAATTGTTCGAAAAAAAGCTTTTCAGCGCTTTTTTTGAAAAACGAGAAGGCGCTTTGAAAAAGCAAAATCGATGAAGTTTCCAATCTTTTTTTGAAAAACTTTTTCGCAAAAAAATATTTTTTTGAATCAAAGAACTCGTCAAACAGCTCGCTCTAAAAAAAGAAACCGTGAATAGGATTGTTGGTACGAATTTAAAACCTTTGTGAATAGAATGAATGTTCAGCCAAGTTATGTCGAAAAAAATAAAAATATTTTTTTAAAATGGCTTCAGTGCTCCTAAATAGTCACTTCATGAAAATATAGAAAAGATGGGTAAGTTTAATGTTTTTTCAAGTTCGAGGAGATTTTTTTACCCCAAAAAAGGCCGACAACCAATGAAAAAAAAACTTTCAAGCTTTCGAGTCTCTCTATCTTTGAGCAAAAATTGGAGTTCGAAACCACTGGCAAGTAAGTAAGAGGTGAAGGAAAAAAAAAGTTTCTTTCCCAGTTGATTCAAACTTCTTGCCTTCCGTTCCCAACATTTCTCCCTCCGCTGTCGGAGCACCCATCAAAGTTGCAAATTATCACTTTTCAAACATAAAAAAAAGAGCCTTCTCAGTTCATCAACACGTTCCGTCATGCTGCAGGCAAGAACAGGGCAGTTTAGGGCAAGTTAGCACCTCGGCGAGGTGGAGTCGGAGCTGAGACCTTTAGTCTCCGCCTCCTCTTCCTGCGACGATTTCCTCAGTGGTATCATTCCAATCCGCACAGTCCTACCGTCCTCTCCGACCTTCCGACTTCTTCGTCAACTTCTACCGAAATGGCCGAGTTCTTCGACATCCAGGAGGAAATCGCCATGCGAATGGACGCCGTGACTCTCAAGTCTCTGGCCGCCACTTGCTCTACTTGGAAGCACTATATCAAGACTCATCGTCAGAAGTTCAAGTTTGTTTTTTTTTTATTATTTTCTTCATGCATAGCTTTTTAGTGATTAGCTTTACTCATGATAACTTGAGGGGCTGATTTTTCCATCTTTTGATATTTATAAAGAATTTTTCAAAAATAAATTTTCAAAGTTCTCAGACCTTATTGTTCTTGGCTCTCATTACCTTTCCAGCTTATTATCCACTCGAACTGAAAACTATATGCTTGATAATATCACAATTATTCTCTTCATTCAAGCAAAAACTATAGAAGCTCACACCAAATGATCAGTCAGGAATCGAAAAACTGAATCTGCGTTCTCATTTCTTTAACCAGAGATAAACTCGCCGTGAATATGAAGTTTTTTGACTTTTTTGAGCATCATTCTGAGATTCAATCTACCAACAGAATTTCAACTTTATTAATATTTTCAAAAACTCAATTTTCAGCCGCACGCCACTCAGCAGCCTGGTCATCACCAGCCAACTCAAGACGTTCTACCGTGTCCGGGTTTTCGCAACGCCTCAGGGTCTGTTGGTGCCCGTCGACGACGTTTGCTACGAAGTCTCCGTGGAGCTCCCCTCCTTCGCGTACTATCCGAGCCAGAAAACCGTCTCGAATGAGAAATTCTTCGACACTGTCGCAGAATTTCAGCCAAAGTTTCTTTGGCTCCACGCCAAGCCAAACGTCGTGGCAATGCTCCCGCCTTGGTGGCTTTCTACGGTTGAGCAGGTATGAGAGTCAATTTGAAGTTTCAAACAAAAAGCTTTTTGGACTAAAATTTGGAACTGATCTTTAATCAAGTGAAATTTAAAGCTTCAATGGACTCATTATTAATTAAAAAGTATGGGCGGTTCCAAAAACTGTCTTGTTTTAGATATGAAAACAGTAAAATTCTAAAAATATTCAATTTTAATTGCAGCTCTCCTACTCCTGCGAGTTCCATTCGCTCGACATCTTGCACATTTTGAGATGCGCTCCGAAGGTTGTTTTATAATCAATTCATCTCTTAATTCATTATATTCAGATGCACCACGTCGATATTTTCGCCCAGGACCCGAATATTCCCTACACGCCGCTGCAAGTGGTCAAAGCGATGAACTCGATCTCTTTACTCTCGTTAGTTTTTCTCGTTTTGTTCGCCTTGATAAATCAGAGGCGGCTTGAAGAGACGTCAGAGAAGTGGGAGCCTTTCTCTTTCTCTGGTGTCTCTTCAGACTGCCTGTTCTCAATCCAAAAAATCGAAAATTTTCGCTCAGAAATGTTATGAAGCTCTTATCAGTTTAAAATAGTCCAGTTACTGAAAATCGAAAATATAGTGAAGAAGAAACCCCCGAAAAGCTAATTTTTTTAAATTTAATACTTCCAAAAATCCTAAAATTACGGATCCTAATTCCTAGGAATCTTCAGAAACTATCACTAATACCTCAGATAATCAGAAAAAATCATTCCAGGATTCGTCAAAACGCGGAGTTTCCACGAGTGACTGAGAACGCTGACGAGATCTTGGCCGAAGTCACTAAGAAATCGAAAAACGGCATGGGACTCGTTTTGTTGAGAATTGAGACGGGCAACTTCTCCTACACTCCTGAGGCTCTTCTGCGCTTTTTTGAGGTGATTTATTATTATTTTTTTGGGTCGATCAGTGTTTGGTATTTGAAAAAATGAAATAAGAAAAGTCAACTTTGAAATCCAGAAAGATTCAGTGGAAATTGACAAAAATTAAGCTGAAGCAAGAGAGCAACGGTGGCTCAAAGAGACGCCAGGAAAGTTAGAACTTCTCTCTTTCTGTGGCGTCTCTTCAAATTGTTACCTCTCTCGTTTCTGCTAGTTCGAGTTCTGCATTCATTTCTCTACAGACCCGATTTGACTCAAGTTTGAGGCTTTTTTGAAATTTTCAGCTTTCAAAAAGACTTTTGTGAAACAAAAACCTAGAACTCTCAAATTTTCAGACAACGAAGTTCTACACTGCGCATAAAGTGATACTGTACATCCACAAGATCGAGGGCGGCAAGGAAAACTTCTACGAGACCCTCAGAGCCAGGGAAAACTGCGATTCTATCCGATGCGATGGAGGCTTCATGTACCGCCGAGGCCCGCTGCAAGCCACGGTTTACGTGACTGAAGAATGATTTGTAGCTTTTTGAGCTCAACTTGTTTTCGGGTATGCGTGAAAACGAGTAAAGTCCCCATTTTAGCGACTTATTTTTCACTATTGTAATTTGACCGATCCCCCTTTTCTTATTATTTTTTTCAATTTGTAACTCTTTTATTGTGTAATTATCTAATAAATTAAATCAATACAACCTTTGTTTTTACTTCAAAAAGAGTTGAGAAAGAAAGGAAAGTCTATTCACTCAACATCATGGTTCAGCGTAGAAACTCGAAAGATTCGAAAAAGTTTGATCAGAATGAATGGCTACTTCTCAATAGAAGCTTTCGTGGCCCTTTGTTCCAAGTTTTTCGCGGCTTCGCTAAGATTTGAAATTTGAGGCGTGACGCGTTTTGAACCGAACTCGGCGTAAAGTCGGTGGGAAAAAAAGTTGTACGGGTAAACTGAGAAAAAAAAAGTTGAAGAAAGAAATTTGGAAAACTACCGTTCAAAAAATTGAAAATCATGCGGTTTTTAGTCGAGTTGAAATTTTACTACGTTCAAAAGAATAGTTCTGTATAGTTTATATCAAAATCTGTCTAGAAATTCCAATGAGGATTTTGAAAGAAATTTTTCCCATACGGCTTCGACTGAAAAAGTTCAAACATTTTTCTTGAACTTTTTCAACCCATAAGATCTCAAAAAAGTCAAATAATTTTGTTGTCCCAAGATCAGTTCTGTTTTCGGAGGAAAATTTATAAAAAAGTGTACATTTTTGGAAAGGTTTCAGTACAAGATTTTTACGTTATCCCTTTTTTTCAATCAAATCTTTTTCGGAAATGTAACAGCTTTTAACCATAGTTATTTCGAAACAAATAGTCTTCGTTTTGCTCTCGGAGGAGGTCCTTCGAATGTCGGCCGTGGACCACTCCGTGGCATCTCTAGCCTGTTTGGATTCTCTCGCCTCTCTTCTCCGAAAGACAGTTCTTACACTGTTCTAGCCCCATGACTCATCGGCAGAGCGCGCCTTCCACAGCTGTCGACCATCATGTTTACTTTCTCTCTTGCCATATATATTATTGATTTTGTGTTCAATCATTTTTCCTCGCCTATGTCATGCTTTTCCTTGATGTTTCAGATGAAAAAAGATAAACAACTATAAATTAACTCTCATTTATACTTTCAGAATGAGATTTAAAACAGAATATCAATGCTTTGTTTGTCCTATCTGAATAGAGAAGGGCCCCCTCTGAAAAATGCAGTTGAGAATTGAGACTTTATTTGCTGATAGTTCTAGGTAAAATTAGACTATCCAGCAATTAATATATAATACTTATAATAAAAGATTTAATCATTTCTGTGGAAAGCAAATGATTTTTCAACTGAACAATATTTCAAGACGCAGTCCTCCAAAAAAGCCGAAAAGTTGAAATTTTTCGGGAATTTTGGTGCTCAGGAAAAACTTCCGAGCTTGCTCAAATAATTTTTTCTGTTTAACGAAACTGTTAATGAGTTTTTTTTTTCGAATTTAGAAGCGACTATGAAAATTATTCCGTGGCACAAAAAGAAAAAGTTTGGAGATTAATATGTCTAGGTGAGGTACTCGGGGTCGCAAATAAAATTCTGCTGATCCTCATAGGTAGCCGTGGAAAAGCTTGTTGAAAATTTCCAGAGGATCTTAGCCGCGCTCGGAGCCTTCGACTAGCAACTTGCAGCGTGGTGTAGTGGTAGTGGCTTGCGCACTGTTAATATTGTGACCATGGTTCGAACCTTTTGGTGAATATCATTTTTGCCGCCTCATGGCTTTTATGGGAATGTTTTTTTTTTCACAATAAAGATCTAATTTATCAAAATCACAATACAATCTAACCATATTTTTTTTATTCATAAATTTATAAGTCTACAAAACAAAAGTCTACCATTTGATAAATCGAATAAAATTTTGGTACAAGTTTCAAAATAACAGTCTTCATTCCTATCTCAAGGTTTTTTTAACGAGTAGATTTTTTTGGTTTTGTTTTTTTCGATAAACTTTCATCATTTTTTTTTGTCGAGAAACGATCAAAATATGTGCTTATCGTCAATTTTTCCCGACTTGAAAGGCGAGGGAGTCAGGCAAAGGGGCGCGACGCGTAGCGTGTGCGTACGCGGTTCTTGGCACGAATTCAATTCAACCGCCAGCGTTGTTTGGAGAGCTCGTTTATCGCTCTTTTCATTTCTTTTTAAATCAATCATTGATTTTTTTTTTCGCATTAAAAATAGTAGAACATATGAAGAAAGAGCGGTGACAGAGCTTTTTGAATAGTCGGTGCGCTTGAATTGAACTCGTGCCAAGAACCGCGTACGCACACGCTACGCGTCCCGCCTCTTGCCTCGCCTCCCTCGCCTTTCAAGTCGGGAGACATTGACTATATAAATCAGCAAAAAAAAATTCGCCAACAGGATCCGAACCTTGGTCACAATATAGACAGTGCACACGCTACACCACGCCGCCAGTTGATTTTCGAAAGGTCCGTGAGCAGCCAGAGGCCATATACGCTCTGGAAAAAAATTTCGACGAGCTTTTCCTTGTTTTCCTGAAGAGTTTAGCCAAACTTTATTTTCGAATCCAAGTTTCTCGCTTAGGTTTACCGGATCAAAAATCTCTCCATTCTCAAATCCATCTTCGAAGGAAACCGTACTCTGCTGAGCACTTTTTTTATCTATAAAATGAAAGATAGGATAAGTCATTGAAAAATTCTCTTTTTCTGACTAGCTTATTTGACCTCCGAGCGTTCTAGGTCAAACGTAGGAAACCTTTGATCTCTGTCTCGTTTTTTTATCGCCCTTTTGTTAGTGCTACCTTCCAAACTTATCATTTTTTTCCAGAAAGATGGCCGAGCTTTTTCGACATTCAAGAGCAAATCGCGATGAGAATGGACTTACCGACTTTGAAGTCTTTTTCTGCAACCAGCTCCACTTGGTACAACTACATCAAAGATCACCGCGACAAGTTCAAGTTTGTAACTTATACATAGGGACCGAAGACGAATTTTCAAAAAAATTTTTTCAGCATTGAGCTTTGTATGGTTTGATAGCTGATTTGATTCAAAACTCAGAACCGTTTAGTTTTTCAAAAAAGATTGAGGATGAAAAAAGTTATGACAAAAAATGTGGCGCGCCGCGCACCATTTTTAGTACTGAAAATTTTGGTATTATCCATTTTTTTGACATTTTTTTCTCGATTTTTTTCTTCTAGAACAAGTTTTCGATACTGATTTATTATGATGTAAGGAAATCATAATAGAGGGCTAAAATAATGCAAATTTGCTAGTTTGCCGAAAAAAAGTCGGTATTTTTTTCAGAAAAACAAAAAAACTGACGCTTGCGGGCATCGAACTCGCGACCTCAAAAATGAAAAAAATTGCCTATTTCAAAAAGAAAATCTTGAAGTAGTTAAGATATTTTTTTATCAGAATATGTTCGCAAATCTTTACTCAAACTTTCCGTGAAAATTCACTTCGAAAAAACAAAAATTCAACAAGAATCTCTTTTTCAGGCCCACGCTTGACCTGCATCAAAATTCGCTGTCCTAAAAATTCAAAATGCGTGAACACCCCTCAAGGACCCCCGATGTGCAGCAGTATGAGATCAAA